GTCCCCATTCGTTTCCTCAAAGCTGGGCAGGTTCCAAAAGGTAAGGTCAACAAAAACGCATTCGCTCCATCTGTGCTAGACTCTGCGAGGGACTGGTTACTGGCGGTTGATCTGCCAGGCCATGAACGGTATCCCGAGTTGATCCGTAAAACCGGCCTGCGAACGGACATCGTTCTCCATTCTGCGCATAAACGGCAGCTCATTCTGATTGAGTTGACTGTCCCGTTTGAGTCGCGGATGGAGGAGAATCATCTGTACAAGCTCGAGAAGTACAGTGATTTAGCAGCCGGTTTGAGGAGAAACGAGGCTTACACAGTACGGGTATTTGCCGTCGAAGTGGGAGTGAGAGGCCTCGTTTCCACTTCGCTCTACAATGTGGTGAAAGAACTAGGATTGCGCGGTAATGAACGGAAACGAACACTCAAAAAAACTGGGAGAGGCAGCCGAAAGGGCCTCTAGCTGGCTTTGGACGCAGCGCAACAACGTAGGGGACGGGCCTCGGTGAGCTGGTCCGGGTGTCTAGCGGAAAAGAGTTTCTCATCCCTTTGAAAGTCCATCGTGTCCGAATTGTCTGCCAGTGTTCCTCTGCCAACTGCTAATAAAAGTCCAACATGTGTCCGGTAAACCAAAATAAGCTTGTCGCTCGGTCGTCCAGGCATGCGGACTGTTTTAATTACGCTGCCGCGGCGACTTCTTATCTCACAGTACCTCCTTCGAAACCACCAAGTCGTCTTGTCTCTGGCCTAAAGTATAACACCATCCGGTAATTCCGTGCAGCGGGGAACCAGCCCTGAGCGTCGTGAACTCAGGAGGGCCCACCTCCGAATACGTCTAGGAATCGTGGGCCGAAACGTGTGTCGACGAGGATAATTTCTACTGATGACTGGTAGATTCCCGCTGTACTTGCTCCCTGTGAGTTTATTCCTATTTTGGTCCTGTTATGTGAGTTTACATACTGAACTTGATTAGGTCATATTATTTCATTGTACATACTTGTATAAATAGTCAGAGACATACCTCTTTATTGGGCCCCCTGATCTCAATCACCAGATCTAGGTTTGCCAGACGTTCAGTCAGGATGTTGAACTTGGTTCGCTTCCCTGTCAGTGGCAACAAAGTAACAATAGTTACAGCCAACAGTGGAGAGTTACGGTCAGGCTTGTGTGTCTATGTCAGCGGTATAACGTTATTGCTAACAGTGTGCATGTGTGAGTGTGAGAGGGAGTGCGTGAGTGAAAGGGATCAAGAGGAACAAGTAGACAGAAAGGAAATGAAAGAGTGAACAGTAGACAGATGAGGGAAAGAAAAAGCGGGGTATTGTAGGCAGTGGTGGAAGGGGCAGTAAGAGAGTAAACGAGAGGCATAGAGAGAGAGAAATAGAGAGAGTGTGTTTGTATGTGTCAGAGAGAGAGAGAGAGAGAGAGAGAGAGAGAGAGAGAGAGAGAGAGAGAGAGAGAGAGAGAGAGAGAGAGAGAGAGAAAATACAAAAGTTCAGTAAGGAAATACCCAGTAGACAAGAGAAACAATGAAACTGCAACGACGAAAGACGGCATGGTATGTGAGAGACCAGGCGAAAGAGGGAGCCACACCTTATCCTGTGACACGAGAGCTACTCAAGTAATTATTCTTCCTCTCTCCCTGCCTACAAGGTAAGTTTAAACATTGATCGTCTTCAGCGCGACTGTAGAACCAGAACTTCCCTTTTCTGTCCATCTGTTTAAATCAGAATAGTCTATCTTAACTACTGTATTTTTTTAAAATGTGGAATATTACACTTATTTAGGTTGGTAGGTGCTTGGCTGGGGGGAGGGGGAGGAAATCGTCGCGTTTAACCATTGTCCACGAAGGAGGAGCTTTAGCTTATAATTATGACCAGGTTATGGGCGCAACAGGAAAAATAGTTTAGCACTGCACGCCACCAAGAGCCCTGAAAAGGACTCCTGGAGTGCTGTTGCGATCAAAGGATACAGATCTAAATTCTGTCCTGACCGGCAAACAAAGTGGTCTACCGGTGAGCTGATGTCATTACATGTCTTTGTGAAACTTGTATTTGTTGTTGTTGTTGTAGCTGGATATTGTCTATGAGATTCTCACCCGTCTGCCCTTTTGTTTCCCAATAAACGCTCATTCAAGGAGCACTAACGATCGATGACTTTTGAAGCGATGTTTGCTGCAAGTTTTGTAATAACTTGTAGAATGAGGCATCCAATAACTTTACTCTTTCAGTACCATCTAGATTTTGCTTTAACCCGCGTATTCTAAAAACCTAGTACGTTAAATAACAGTCTGTATCTGCTGGTTTCAAAATATTTGGAGATAGAATAGACATTGTTTGTTGTTGTTTTTTAAAATAATAAAACAATAAGCATTTATTGCATGCAATAACACTTGCACCATAAAACAAAAAAGATAAATAACTTAGCATTTGGTTTAGCAGATGCGTGATTTTTACAATGACTGTCTTAACAAGCCGTTTGTGCCGTGTGCGTACTTTATCATATAGTTTCATACACACATCAGTCATCTTCACAAATTTCATCCATTGTTTTAAACCATAACTAAACAAATCAAGCGTGGGATGTAAAAGTAAGTAAAGGTCACTTTTCCACGCCATGAGGCGTATAGGGCATATAGGGCTAGACTTTACTTCCCGGAGCTGCACCCGGTCCCCACTCAAGGCTGGGTCGACCTGGGAGCTAAAGTCATTTTTGAAAAATATCTGGCTCCGCAAGGAAGCTAACCCACGACCTTCCGATCCGCGGAGAGCGTCTAGCCACTCGGCCACGGCGACTCCGAAGCGTGGGATGCCCACACCTTTATGAATAACGGCTTCTCATTGTGTTAAGCCTACCGGCACTATTTCAGTCCCAAGACAATCCCTTATTACTAGGCATGCCCCTGATTACCACCTCGGTTAGGTTAGTTGTGTATCCTTTACAGGACGTTGCAGAACCAACCCCAGTAGCCCATGGCAGTTGTGTGGTTTCTCTAGGCAAATTTACGTCCAGTTGTTTGCCATTGCTTTCTGGACGGTTGACCCCCTAATACCACTGTCGAAACCAACGCAAGGCGCATGGCCCGCATCTGGGATCGAACCCGGCACCCCGGCATTACAAAGCGTTCGCATCGACTCAGCCAAAGAGCCGACGATTACCACCTGACTAAGATGTAAATCAAGACATTGTGGGCTGATGTAAAAACTGTATTGATCATAGGCAATTGTACCATGTCACTCGATCATTAGAAAGTGATCTGCAAGCAATTGTACAGTCACTGCTAAGGATCATGCCTCTGTTAGAATTGACAAAGCAGAGTTGATGAAACTACTGTCCTAATGAATGACTGGGGTACTATAAGAAGAACTGAAGAGCCCGATAGTTCACTGAACAGGTTAGTTTAACGGGATGCAGTTATTTCTAAAAAGTGACTGATGGACGTTTAACCCCACCAGGACCGCACAGCGAGTGTTAAACATCCGGTGACACAAAGTGCCACGATTTGGATGAGAATTCCCCTGGCGCAAGTTGTAAAAACTCTGTTCAAACGTTGAGTTATAATTAGGGCACCCAACGGCAGCTGGGATAGGGTTAAAAAAAAACGAAAAATTTAATTTGATTTCGGGGCAGGGTTAACTAAGAAACCCAAACATTGTCACGTACCTAGTTTTAGGATAAACAAGAGAATGATTTGAAAATATAATAATAATAATAATAATAATAATAATAATAATAATAATAATAATAATAATAATAACCCACCAAGAGTTTCTTGGGATAAAATAGGTTGCCACACAAGCTTACCAACAATTCCAGCCTTGAGTCCCGTCCCGCGAGCCTGGCACTTGCACTCAGCCGGTGACTCCAGGCTTACGGCAGCCAACACTGCTGGTTTGCTCCCCTGTTTCTGGTACTTCCATTTGAGAAGCTGGACCAGATGGCAGATCTTCACCTCGGAATCCTCTTCGGCAATGGCCATCTCTTCGGGGCTTAGAGGCAGCTGGGAGGTCATTGTTTCCGGGTCATTGGAGCAGCATCAGATGAAAAGAAATGGTTTTGGTGAGGTCATGGGACCATTACAATTTGTATTGTTCGCCTTACAGAGCCAGGGGGTCACGGTGGCGAAGTGGTCAAGCCGTTTGCCTCTCGCTCTGAAGGTCGTGGGTTCGTTTCACGGTGGCGCAGCACAGTTCACGAGTGAACATTTTCCGATGATTCATGGGGATCGTCGCCAGGGTTACGGAGGTCGTGCTCTGTGCGATGCTCTCGGTAGGCAGCCAGTTGTTTTGCGGAGACAGATCGAACCATACAGGATAAAACTCGGGGCACTCAAGTAGATCCTATCACACTTTACCTTTATCTTCAAACAGGGTCATCAAGAATGATTACCGGGACTTTAGACTGTTATTACAGAAGAAGAATTTTTATGGATAGACAAAAGAGTTTACAGTTTAATGTGACCTTTGACCGTGATATGACCTTTTAAGACTGTGATGTGACTTTGTGTGACCGTGATGTGACCTTCTGAGACCGCGATGTGACCTTGTGTGATCGTGATGTGACCTTTTGAGACTGTGTTGTGACCTTTTGAGACCGGGACGTGATCTTGTGTGATCGTGAGGCTTAAAACTACACTAGAAAGACAATGAACGTCCAGCTCCTCAAAAAGAAGGTCGGTGCAGCAATCGAATCTGTAACTCTTAAACCGATCCCGAATACGTGGTTGGAGCTTACATATCCCCTAGACATCAGCAGAGCTACAAAGTGTGCTAGGGTAAGTCTAAAGCATTGAACTATGTTGAATATTCTAACACACCACACATGTATATCTATTCAAAAAGAACTTCATAATAACAGTTTAGAAACCGGACAAGCCTTCTCACATCATGTGAAGAGAGAAACCTGAGACTGGGATACTGGAGCTGAAGAGAGAAACTCAAGACTGGGATATTGGAGCTGAAGAGAGAAACTTGAGACTGGGATACTGGAGCTGAAGAGAGAAACTTAAGACTGGGATACTGGAGCTGAAGAGAGAAACTTGAGACTGAGATACTGGAGCTGAAGAGAGAAACTTGAGACTGAGATACTGGAGCTGAAGAGAGAAACTTGAGACTGAGATACTGGAGCTGAAGAGAGAAACTTGAGACTGGGATACTGGAGCTGAAGAGAGAAACTTAAGACTGGGATACTGGAGCTGAAGAGAGAAACTTGAGACTGGGATACTGGAGCTGAAGAGAGAAACTTGAGACTGGGATACTGGAGCTGAAGAGAGAAACTTGAGACTGGGATACTGGAGCTGAAGAGAGAAACTTGAGACTGGGATACTGGAGCTGAAGAGAGAAACTTAAGACTGGGATACTGGAGCTGAAGAGAGAAACTTGAGACTGGGATACTGGAGCTGAAGAGAAGCCGGAAAGATTATGACAGATGAGGTTAGATAGTTTGACATCGTGATATGCACGATCATCTGTGTGAGAAATGAACCATATTGCATGAGACAGAAGGTTGTAGACGGACATGACAACCAGAGCCATACGACATGGATTAGAAATCGGATGGGCAGCATTTTCAGCTTCAATACCACTAATTTATGTCACCGAAATGCCATAGAAAGGACCGGGTTAGCGCAACGAGTAGACGCTATCCTGCTGGCCTAAATGTCGAAGGTTCAAATCTGCATTTAGGCGCAAAACAATTTTTTCTTTCTTTAAAAACTGACTTTGGCTCCTAGTCTTAAAAAGTCGCCCTGTAATGTCTTGCGAAGCGATGCTGACCACATCACCGAGTGCCAGTGAGTCCATACAAACACGAGTCTTGTTAGTTTGCTTGATGTGCCTCTGACTTTAAAGTAAGGATGGCTAATTTTGTACTATTTCAATACTATACTAATGTTATTTTTTATTGATTAATATCCAGAATATCATGTGTGTGTGTGTGTGTGTGTGTGTGTGTGTGTGTAAATAAAAATAATTATGTACGTAAACAAGGCTTAGGCAAATGCACAGAAACCTGCTAGGATTGGGGGGGGGGGATATCCAGACACCGTTGAACTCTTTGGTTGAGTGCTATGGATATCGCAACCCTTCTGCCTCGATTACATAATAGGACCTGAGCATGAATTAGGACCACAAAGATTTGTCACTCTGTCGCCATGCAGCTGCTTTAACTAACTTAGCTAGCGCACCGGGCAATGAACTAGACAAATGTATTGTTCGTGGGGAAAAAGAAAGTATTTCGATTCACTACTGACCAGGCAGGCATGGCGAAGAAGATCTATTACCTCAGTGACATGCAGATACCGCATAGCCAGCTGGAGACCCAGTCTGCAGTTGTTGACCCGATGGTGTGCCTTGAGCAGGTTAAACTTTGGACACGCCCCAGGACTGATGGCCTCCATCAAGGCACACAGAGCTATCCCGTCCTGCCAGCAGGCGGTGAAGTCAAACACCTCTTCTTCCAGCCAAGGCAGAATGGACTTGACCCAACTTAGCAACTGCCGCTTGCGCCTGTCGTCTGTGTGTGGGAGAAAGGGAAACAAGTTAAATGCTTAACCACCAATGGAGAGACCGGGCTCATAACTGTCAAGATTTAGTTCCACGATAGTCTTCCCAAACAAACAAGGTCACGTTCCATTGATAACCTTTTTAGACTGGTCAGCTGTCCGGTGGGTGGGAGGGGGGGGGGGGAGATTACGGGTGTTCCGCTATGTTGCTTGCGTACTGGCTTGTCTTCCATTTACGTTTTTCTTCCGAGAAAGAGAATGCCTGTGACATACGTTGCAGCACTCTCTAGGGAGTTATGTGTTAGACCCAGTTTCTAAATGTTTTTGTAGTGTTAAAAGCGCTAGCGTGCTTACGTGCTTAAATATACAACACGCGATATCAGTGGCATTGCTGAACACCCCCGTAGTAGTGTGCTAAGGTTGGATGAATCAAGGTCGACCAATCCGAAGTGAGCTAGTTTGTATATGGGCGGTCTTAAGGTGGGGGGGGGTATAGTAGAATTAACCCGGTCAAAATCTCTCTACGCCTTTATGAGGTCACACACCACACACACACACACCCACACACACACACACGCACACACACATACACACACACACGCACACACACACAAAACTTGTTCACTACTTGGCCAAAGTAAATAGTTTGCTCTTAACATATATTTCTCTCTATTTTATCACAGCTCACACATACGTATAATTCACCTTGGACACAACAGACTATATTTTATCATCGTAAAACACGTATAGTTAATTGCTGACATGTGTCTGATCAGTCCATCTAAATACATACGACAGCAGGTTATATTGTAACAGTAGAGTACCCACATATATTTTCTCAAATAAAACAATCAGTAGAGGTAACCTGGGATAGCTGCTTCATTGGAGGACTGAACACGACCAGCTCCAGCTGACAGGATACTGCTGACGTCACCGGGTCGGGCTAACGACGCGTTAACGCTACGATTCTCAAAGAAGAAATAAACCATTTTCGACTGGGGCGAGGGAAGACAACTTAAATTTTGACTTCTAAGTATCTACGCGCCTTCTTTAATAATTTCACAATTTTTAGCCGACTTTTCTTGATTATTGCCGCGGTACCCCTGGCATACGCTCATGGCACCCCAAGGTGTCTCGGCACCCACTTTGAGAACCGCTGCTTTAACGCATCGTTAGCCCGACCCGGTGACGTCAGCAGCACTTCACATCGGCTGGAGCCGGTGACAAGGGCTGTGATAATAGAACCCAAATATAATTGTTTTCAGGTGGTTTGTGGGATTTCCTTGTGTTGCATCCAAACAATTACTCTTCAAGTCATTACGTGTAAATCTTCCACGGTACAATCACAGACGGGAAATTTAAAAAGGCAGTATTTTTGCACATTATATTTAAAAAAAAAAAAAAAAAATATAACACATTGTAGTACCATCTTCTTCTTCTTCTTCTTCTTCTTCTTCTTCTTCTTCTTCTTCTTCTTCTTCTTCTTCTTCTTCTTCTTCTTCTTCTTCTTCTTCTTCTTCTTCACGTTCATCAGCTGTAAACTCTGGCGGAAAGTTCTGGTTGTTCATCCACTTCTGGACTGCAGTCCCGTTCCAGAATTTGAGTGTTGCATGTACATCGTTTTACAGATCTCACTCATTTGTATGCAGAATGCTAGTTCCTTGCCTTTCAGGCAGATACACTCTGATTTTGAATGAAGCGCCCAATTAGTCGACTCTTACGACACGCTTTTGGGTAGGCAGTGGGTCTATTCCTGTTTATCCTATATCATGGCAACGGAACCAAGACGAGCAATTGTAGTACGATATCTATGAGTATGGAGCAGACCACAAGCGACATCGCTGTATAACTAACAACACAGTGTACACTTGCATGTTATGGCATGTTACTACAATCGACGTCAGTGCACACTGGACGTTCCCATACGTGCTCAGTCCTCCCATGCAGCAGCCACCCCAAGGTACCTCAACTGACTGTCCCCATGAGATGTTGGTTATGGTGTCTTCCGTCTTGGTTTCGAAGACTGCACATGCTTTACGAAGTTTGCACGGATCACTCATCACACAACGATGCGAAGTGTTACCAACCAGCTCGTCTATCTAACCTGAGAGAAAGAAGTCAGTAGCCAAGTCTATCAGCCTGGGTCTGACCCTGAGCGTCATCCGGGTGTTGAGGTGGTGCAGCTGGCGCCAGCGCCGTAGTATCAGAGAGACGGGGTTCAGATGCCAGAGCTTGAACACGGCTCCTGCTAGGCACCAGACGATGTATCGAAAGACAGCGGAGACGTCTGCCCAGCGGATGCCTGCAAAAGTAAGAGATATCTAGTTAATTGTAAACATGTCTTTACTGTCATTTAACACTCTTAGCAAGATGTGGATCCCCGTGTGGGTTTCACGACCCCAATGTGGGGGGGGGGGGGCAACCCCACTGCCACCAGACAAGCATGTCGTAAAAATCGACTAAATCGGAGTACAGCTGACTGAGAGACGGTAAACCAACAGTCTTCATATCAATAAACATGATCTGTAAAAACGAATGCACACGCAAAACTCAAATTCTGGAACACGACTATAGTCAAGAAGGGGACGAAGAACCAGAACTTTTTGCCGGAGTTTACAGCCGACGAACGCGAAGAAGAAGCGAGGTGTAGGACATTGACGTCAAGAGACCAAGGATTTAATGCCGCATGGCAAGTACAGTCACTACCAACTGTGCAGGTTGGGATTTTTAAGATTGCTCCAGACAGAAGAAGAAATCTGATCCAGACAGAAGAAAACATGTGTAGTCCTTATCGAGGATCGAACTCAAATCTCCCGCCTGAGAGCTCCGGCACTTTAACCACTCGACCAGTGGCTCCTCAGTCTAGCCAGCTGTATGAAACAAGGCTAAGGATCCCTTCACGTCGGTGGCATTTAGGGCCTATTTTAGCTAACAACCCCTACAAAGTATTTTGATGACGTGGACATTGCTGACAACGGTTCTCTTCTATCCCACTCACGGACGGAATCAGATGCATGATAAATTATATCTAGGAAGTATATTCTCGGAGGACGGGAGAATAGATGGGGAAATAAAAACAAGATGCCAACAAACCATTTCACTTATATACCAGCTGACACCGTTATTAAGAAATCTAAGCATGCCCGCCAAAAACTTTTTATAAACAGCATATTCATACCAACACTGTGCTACGAGCGCCAGACTTGGACATTATCACAGGTTAACCTGAGTAAAATTACCACCTGTGAAATGAAAGGTCTAAGAAAAGCCGCCGACTTAACCGTCCGAGTCAAAGTTAGAAATGATGCAGTCAGACTGTAGGAAGAACACTATGCAACAAATTCTTCGAGAAACGGAATACATGGCTATCTGCTCTCATACACGAAGGCCAACTGGGGCCTGTACAGACACTACAAGTACATGGCTATCTGCTCTCAAGGTGGAACTACACGAAGGTCAACTGGGGACTGTACAGACACTACAAGTACATGGCTATCTGCTCTCAAGGTGGAACTACACGAAGGCTAACTGGGGCCTGTACAGACACTACAATTACATTGCTATCTGCTCTCAAGGTACAAAATAGGGATACCAATGCAATACTGCGAGATTCAGTGGAAGTATTCTTCAAGCTGCAAAAGAAGCAATCCTTGGATGATGTCGACATAACTACAGACCTTAATGGTCCAGCATTCTTCACGAATGTCAAAAAACAATGAACCAGGCTAGAAAGGACACAGAATCCCAACCTTCACCTGACAACCACATCAAATGGAAAAAGGCTCAATTCAGGAGAACTGAACTTGAAGAAAAAACGGAAAAGCTGAAGAAATAAAACAGCATCTCTAAACCCTGAGAAGGGTGGCAAGAAACTCTGGAGATTAGCATGTTTACACAGATGGACCAGCAACCAGTGGGGTTAAAAAATTAGGAAGCTGGTGTCTTTACCACATACCCAGACAACCACCAACTCACAAAGTGTAAACCCACTGGTAAATTCTATTCCAACTACACAACAGAGGTCCTAGAACTAGAGCAGGCTGCCGAAATGTTACAACACCAGTTGTGACTGCCACCAAGTGGTCATCTTCTCAGATGCGCTATCTGTGCCTGAAGCACTCAAGAGTGGTAACACTCCCTCACCTGTGATCTCAACTTGGCAGGGTGGCTGCACAGAAATGTACTGTACTCCATTGGGAGCCATCCCACTGTGGTATACCAGGAGCGAAAGGGGCAGAATATGAACAGAAAGAGAATGTACAAGTAGTAACATACTTTGAGAAGAAAATAGGGTTCTTAATTTATAACGTACCCCAAACACGAAATCCCCGTGGGAAATCCACAGCTGACCTGACAGTCCATTATTTCAAGGGGTGGAAGTGTGCTGTTGTCTGGTGTTTTTTATGAGTTGTAATCTAGTGTCTTCTGATGCTAACCCTAACCCTAATCCTAAACTTGGCTGTAGTTAAATAGCGAGAAACTACAACCTGAAAACCCTAGAATTTATTAGGAATGTCTCCCGTGACGTTGTCGGGACGTCAGGGGTAAGTTATAAATTAAGTACCGAAAAGAGCCATTGTACCCTTGTGGGCTGTGTGTGCAAACTACAGAACATGTCCTGCAAGAATGCCCCTTGTACAGCCAATTAAGAAGGGAATTCTGGCCCAAGTGAGTCAACATTTATGGAACTAAAAAGGAGTTCCCAAAAACAATCAAGTTTCTCCGAATTACTTGTCTGTTGGTGTAAATCAAGAAGAGAACACAAGAAGAAGAATGACAAAACACTCAGAAAAGTCGTAAATAAATGTTTATTTTTAACTGTTTAATTTTTGTACAATGTAATCGTTGCTGTTGCATGCAAGTCGATATTGCTTTTTTCCCCCGTTCAAATACATTGATACTTTGTATTCAAGAATGTGGCTAAAATTTGTTTGCACATTGTGTTTTTCTAAATCTAAGAAATAAAAATATTCTGCAATAATTTTTGTTGAGTGACTTAAATAAGCTGTCGCGTGTGACCTCGTAAGGACACAAGTGTGCCCCAAGCGACCCTAGGGGGACCTTCAGTTTGACTAGCCTGCTTGAGGGGACCTTTCTTAGTACTAATGTTTGACACATATACAGTTTTTAAAAAAAGTAAACATCTCTTTTACGCCTTAAGGCGCATCGGGCATATGGGAAGAGCACCCATTTTTCTTTTCTTTTTTCCCCAGACTAATCAGCACTAGGTGGGTATTGTGGTCAACATTAGGCAAACCGTCTGTACTTTCCCGGGACATAAATTCTAGTACCCGTTTTAGGCAGGGTCGATCTGCGACACCCCATCATCATCATCATCAGGTGCCTTGCCGACTGGCGTGGGCGATCATGCCTCTCCACAATCTGCGATCTCCTGCAGCATGTATCAGTTCGTGTGCCGACACACCTCCATGCCATGCAACAAGACTGTCAAGCATCTTCTCTCGTTGTCTTCCTCTATCTCTCCTTCCATATATCTTTCCATTGGTCACAACATGTTCTATTTTCCCTCCTATTATAACATGGCCGAAAAATGATGACTGTCTCCTTCTGATGTCTGTGATAAGTTGTCTTCGGGCTCCCGCCTCTTTCAAAACCTCTTGGTTGCTCTTTTTGGCTGTCCAAGGTATTCTAAGCATTCTTCTGTAAAACCACATCTCTGAGGCCTCTAAAAATTGTTTGGCCTACCTACCGATTGTCCAGGATTCACATCCATATGTTAAAACTGGATGTATGTAGCAAGCAAGAATTCTTTTTCTAACTCTCAATGACAAGGATTTATTGCACAAGATGTTTTTCATTTTATAAAATGCAGTTTTTGCCTGTCCTATTCTGTTTCTTATCTCAGTTATGCATCTTCCATCTGATGTTATTCATGTGCCCAGATACTTAAATTTCTGTACTTGTCCTAAAATAACACCATCGACTTTTATTACACACTTAGGAATAATTCGTTTCTTTGATACCACCATTACTTCTGTCTTCCCATTATTCAAACTGAGGCCCATTCTTCCACTTTTGAACACCACAATGTCTATCATTTCCTGTAGTTCTTTCTGACTTGTTGCTATCAAGACTGTGTCATCAACATAACGTAAATTGTTTATATTGTGCCCACCAACCACAATTTCTGGCATACCAATTAAAGCTCTCATTGACACCCCACCCCATACCATGATAAAAATCGACGCAGCCAGCAGTGGGTTTCTATAGCGGTACGTGGGAATTACGAGTCGGACTCGTGACGACACACATGCAGCGATAACAAGAAAAAGGTTCCCGGTCTTCGTTTTCAAGGATATGTTCTTATCTCTTTCAGGATAAAGAACATAGACATTAGAAACACCGTCAAAACTACACCATGTTTAGACTACATAGAACATCAAAGAATGAAATGGTTTGGACATCTAACCAGGATGAAAAATGACCAAATAACATCACAAATTTTCAACCAAAGAAGCTCAGGATATAAGGCAGGAGGAAGACCAAGGAAACGGTGGATTGACGGGGTCTCCGAAACCTGCCAAAAGCATGGCCTCAGAACATCAGATGCTGCCCGCCTTGCTTATGACAGGAACTTGCATCTCCCCACAACGCTTACCGGCATACGTGGAAGGAAAAAGTAAAGTAAAGTAAAGTAAGTTCTTATCTCTGTACGCCGATTTTATCCCGTCCACATTGTGTTTGTTTGTTTGAATAAATCTAGTTCGTTTTTCCCGCAGTGTTCCTACATCAATTGTTTTAGATCCTAGGCATTACGGCAAAGTTACTGTCTTCAGCTCTTGTCCAATTACAGTGATATATCTCCATTGACCCAGATTTGTTCTTTCTTACCAAATAACATTTTTTTCTCTTGATTATCATAGTTATTTTGTTCAGTCTAGGTTGCCTCAAGGTCGGTGTTTAACGCTGCTTCTTCTGCAGTTTAAATGTAGGCGTAACGTTATGGAACCTATGACTTCTTTTTTAAGGGGTTGCGTTAGCGCAGTCGATACGAGACTTATAAGCTGTCCGTACTGGTGGCAGAGTACTTATGGTTTATAACCGTGTGCAATGAGGCTGCTTCACATCTCCCGACTTTATCTTTACTTTTTAACTTTTTTTTTTTTAATTTTGAATATTGTTTTCTGTGCGTGACCAATTATCACTATTTTGCCAGTTCCTTAAGTAAAGTTGTTTATAGCAAACTCACGCACACACTCCCTATTTTAAACACACACACACACACACACACACACACACACACACACACACACACATATATATATATAACTATATATATATATATAATATATATATATATATATATATATATATATATATATCATGCGTGTGTGTGTGTGTGTGTGCGAAAACGCGTTGTGTGGCTTAGAACTGAATCTTCTTCTTCTTGTTTGCGTTCACCAGCTTGTGTGTTTATATCAGTACTGAATGAGTTGTTTGTTTGCGTTCACCAGCTTGTGTGTTTATATCAGTACTGAATGAGTTGTTTGTTTGCGTTCACCAGCTTATGTGTTTATATCAGTACTGAATGAGTCGTTTGTTTGCGTTCACCAGCTTATGTTTTTATATCAGTACTGAATGAGTTGTTTGTTTGCGTTCACCAGCTTATGTGTTTATATCAGTACTGAATGAGTTGTTTGTTTGCGTTCACCAGCTTATGTGTTTATATCAGTACTGAATGAGTTGTTTGTTTGCGTTCACCAGCTTGTGTGTTTATATCAGTACTGATTGAGTTGTTTGTTTGCGTTCACCAGCTTATGTGTTTATATCAGTACTGATTGAGTTGTTTGTTTGCGTTCACCAGCTTATGTGTTTGTATCAGTACTGAATGAGTTGTTTGTTTGCATTCATCTGACATAAAGTCCCGATTGTTTGTACATTTTATCATCATCATCCTCACTGGATGGGTTGAAACCATGGCATGGAGGGATATCATCAAAAGAGCTGTCCCAGTTAACCAGAGATCGTCATCTGTGGAAATGAATGAGCGCCTACGCCAGTTGGCTGGGCACATGATGATAATGATTGGATGTCATTCAGAACTTTTGATTAATCTCTGTCAACTGGTTTCTCTGTGTGTATATACTCTATTCTATTTACTATCTGCTTGATTCCATAGAATTTTCATCCCGTTCTCCTTATCTTAAAAGAGCTCGCCGCTAAGAGGCGGGGCAGCATCCTGTCTATCAGCCTACTCATCACTTTGCACAACCATAATTTATGGGAAGAAAATCCAAATTGTTCAGATTAGAATCTCCCCGCTACCAAAAAGCCATCATTACTAGGGAAAGAAAAGTTCTTTACTGTCTACTGTAATTTCTGTCTCTATCTTCTACGATTGCTAATCAACTTATATGACCAGAATCTTCATACCATCGATAAGAAAGAAGAAGAAACATTAGGCGTTTATCTATCAAACTTACCCAAGCGACTGCCACTGGACTTTATGATCCGGGACTGTGATCTGTGATAAGGCACCATCTTTGGATTGGACGACTGCACCATGGACTATGAAATGCTGGAGTATCCCGCCATGACTATCGATGGGATGATGTTGGCTGCTGCCTATTGTTTAACGTTAATGGCGGTATGTGAACCCGTATCACTGATCTGTTTCTGAGAAGTAAAGAAGGACACTTAGCATCATCAACATTATAGCGTGCATTGTGCAGAAGTGTATTCCCCTCTCCGAGCTGCTACATGTATGTTTGACACTCTGAGGTTACACAATCTCACCTGGATGGCAGGCCAAGAGAACAAATCCCTGTTACACTGTTCAACCTACAAACAAACTATAATTGAGGCCTCGGCTGCCGCCTGCAGTCAAGAATTCCTTTTCATCTTCATTTTTTTCCGCGTCGTTGACAACCGTCATCATCACCACCTCCCATCTTCAGTAGTGCATTTCCTGTTTTCTATACGTTTACTAGCGCATGGTTCATAAACAGCAGGATGCGATTCAGGTAGTCTCCTATAGAGACGGTGGGTATACGAAGAATCTGGACTTTTGCTGGCGATGTCTTATGCTACACACAGAAGTGAAATAAAAAATAAATATCTAGAGAACTGCAGTTCGCGGTGGATAAGGTTGGTAAATGGTGTGAGGAAACAGGCTCGGTCATCAATATAGAAAGGCCTTCAATATTGTGGTGTTCTTGAACTAAAATAATTCTTAGATGTGTGTTGCGGGTCTCACAATAAACAACAGTGACACAAAGAGAGAAAATCCACTAAAGTATTTAGGAATAACTTTTGTCTTTCAAATACAGCATAGAATAGGTAGTTTTAAAGATAGGGAAAGGACTCAACGCCTTGACGGTTATGTCATCTGCAGACTTGGAACAGAAAATAACCCTAAACGGTCTACCAGCAAATGATTGTTTCGAAGATGGATGGTGATTTGGGACTGTTACCATGATCTCACACACAGATGAGGAAGAGGAAACACATACAAATGAAGCCGTTCCAGTCATTTTGGGATGTACACGTGAGACGCTGATTGTGTGCATGCGGCAAAAAGTTATATATGAGAGATACAAGGTTTTACAGGCGAAAATGAACCTAAAAATCGCAACGGACAGGGAGCACTTTCTGCATGAGGTCTTAGGCCTTAAGGGATAGCAAGAGACAACGGCTGAAAAGAGGTGGCTCTTGGGTGGTACAGACAGAAGTCACGATCAGAACTGTTTGTGCTAGTGACAAGATAGCGAATGTTTAAGAATTGGTTACAGTGCCGCTTAGCAGAATAGACTTGGACTGAGTGATAGTTACCTCGGACCGAAGGTGCCGGGAAATGGTAGCTGGTAACAGTCAGCGGTTCAGGAGCTGATCAATAACAATTCACGTGCTGGTGGCATCATAATATTTACAGATAGGTCTGTAGTTAGAGGTAAGAAGAGTGGGTGGGGTTTTACTGCAAAGGTAAATGGAGACTGCTCGAAAACAGAGAGCCTCGCGTGCAACTTTACAACTTCTAGTATGGGAATGGAGGTGATGGCGATGCAGTCAACATTACCTGACCGTCTTTACTTCCCAGAACATGGCTTAGTATCCTTTTCAGGCTGAGGTGACCTAGGAAGGTCAACTGTGACTGAACGTAGATTGGAACGCATGACCTTTTGATAGGCAGGCGAGTGTCTAGCCGCTAGGTTGCCACGGCTCACTGTCACAGAAAGCGACCATAATTATAACAACAATTAAAATGTTCACACTTCCAGTTCTGGGGCTCCATTTGGGTAAAACGGATGTGCACGCAAAACTCAAGTTCGGAACAAGACCAGTGTCCCAAAATACGACGGACAAATACGAACAACCAGAACGTTCCGATGCAGTTTACTTACGGTAGCTGCTAAGAAGAAGAAAATACGAAGAAGAAAGTTCACCCACCGACAAAAGAGGAAGGGGGTTGGGGGCAGGGACATGCACAAACAAAACAGAATCAAAGAATCTTTATCAACAAACAAACCAATAGACTAATTAAACAAGCAGCAAGGTCAACATGGAAGAGGAAATTCTTAATAGGAGAAAATATGGATTTGAAAAAGCTGTAACAAAACTTCTTCCGCTTTCGCCCTCAGAAAGGCAGTTATCTCCCCATGTGTGTTACAGTTTGCAGCGAGGCTGCGGTATGCTTTCGGTACAACTCTTCTGATTTCTGTAAAACCCTAATTAGTAGTTCGCCTCTTTCCACATTCTTGTTAGAGTGCGGTATGTTTTAATGAAAAACATCTTGTGCAATATTTCCTTGTCATTGAGAGTTAGAAAAAGAATTCTAGCTTGCTACATACATCTAGTTTTAACATATAGCTGTGAATCCTGGACAATCGGTAGGCAGGTCAAACAATTTCTGGAGGCCTCGGAGATGTGGTTTTACAGAAGAATGCTTAGAATACCTTGGACAGCCAAAACGAGCAACCAAGAGGTTTTGAAAGAGGCGGGAGCCCGAAGACAACTTATCACAGACATCAGAAGGAAACAGTCATCATTTTTCGGCCATGTTATGAGAAGAGAGAAAATAGAACATGTTGTGACCACTGGAAAGATATGTAGAAGGAGAGATAGAGGAAGACAATGAGAGAAGATGCTTGACAGTCTTGTTGCATGGCATGGAGGTGTGTCGGCACACGAACTGATACATGCTGCAGGAGATCGCAGATTATGGAGAGGCATGATCGCCCACGCCAGTCGTCAAGGCACCTGATGATGATGATGATGTTTTAAACCCCGCCCTCACTCCGCCCTATTCCCCACCCCACCCCCGCAGCGGTGCCCAGGAACCAGCAAGAGTATAATAAAGAACGAAATGTAAAAGACAGCCGTGGAAAAGACTTTCTGCATATCTTGTTTACGTTTTCGCGCTGGGGTGTCTACGATCGTTTTGTTTCCCAATTCATGTTTGTCGATGCCTTTGACACAAGCGGGCAACGGTCGTCGTGGTGTAGTGGTTAGACGCTGGCCTGTGGAAACAAAGATGCCGTGTTCAGGTCATGACAAAGCCGCACTTTTTCCCCCTCAAAAATTATCTCATTTGACCCTGTAAATGGGTATCAGGAAAAGTCCTGGGAAGTAAAGGCAACATCTGGGATGCTGACCCCATCACCCACCAAGTGCTGATAAAATATCACATTTAGGACTAGCCCTATATTCCCAGTATACCTTGATACATGGAAAAGGGTCGTTTAATATTGTTTTGCAAAAGGGCTCTTTAAAGCTACCAAACAGAAGAGTTGTAAGTTTGTTGCATATCCTTTACAGGACGTTGCAAAACCAACTCCAGCGGTGTTTGTGTGTGTGTGTGTGGCTGTTACGGTTTTTCTAGGCAAATTTGATGTTCAGTAGTTTGCCATTGCTTACTAAACGGTCAGCTCTACCATGTTGAAACCAACGCAAAACAAATCTTCCGCAGCAAGGATCGAACTCGGCACTCCGGCATTACGTGGCGCGTTTGCAGCGCCTAAACCATAGACTGAACCAGCAGGGTATACCCCGTTAGTATTTGGTATAGCCATTACAGATGCCTAAACATAACTGCAGGAGTTGGACGTGAGGCAAATTAAACTTTATAAGTCAATGACACACAGGGATTAAGATGATACACTCTTATATTTTGTAAACAATTTAGTTGGTGGTTTCTAAAAGTGTCATTAGGTGACAGCAACATCGAACGTTATGTCTAGGTTTGTTAGGTGGCGCTAGCTGTTGGATGCGCATCCGCAACACAGTCAAAAATTGCGACTGTACTCACGGATTGTACCCTCAAAGAACAACGCGCTGTTGTGCGTTTTGTGGGTGTGTTTGTGTGTGTGGGGGGATGTGGGGATAAAAAGGACTGCCTACAAAGGACATTCACAAGGACATGCGTCCTAATTATACTGACAAATGGTTATCCAGTAAAGCGGGGCACCGAGAACACATCGTCGCGGGAGACATTTTGCGAATGACGCAGAAGTTGAATATGAAGTGAAAACGTAGTTAAGAGAACAGAGCATGCAGTTCTATGCAGCAGATTTGTAAGGACAGATAAAACGATGGGGCAAGTGAATCAATGTTAGTGGAACTTAGGTTTTAAAAAAAAAAAGGGACAGTGAATGTGTGAAAATAAACGGTGTTGAAGTTGTTATCGCGTTTAGTATTTTTTTTTTAAACCAACCATTTGTGACTTACCACAAAACAAGTCATCCACAATGTGCTGTGTATTTGGACCCTCTATTGATGGAGTATACATATGCTTTTGTTGTCATAATTTTTGCTCCACTCAGGCATCGGCTATGAAATTCTGAGATTGAAAGAGTTAAGATGGGTCGACTAGGAAGCTAAGGTCATGTGTTTGGAAATAAAATGCCCCACGTTGCGATTTCGAACCTAAGACTTCCTGGACGGAAAACTATTGTCCGACCACTACACTTTTGCGGCTACCGGAGCTTGAAAAAACAAGGGGGGGGGGTATCTGGACAATAGCCCTGTTGGATCGGCATCCATAATACGACCCTTATCAAACCTTCAGGTAGCCAGTGTGTTAAACCATTTGTCTGCCAGAGCTTATGATTTTCAATATAAATCTCTGTTTCTACTTCTGCGCGAACGAATATCGTGACTTCCCTTCTATCCACATTGATTTTGCTGTTCTGCGTTCTGAGTGTGCACTTGGCGTAGTCTGTGTGTAAGTAGATCAGAAGTAAATATCCTCACTTCATGACTTCAGGTGTACTGTCATGGTTGCATAAAGTTAGGACCAAGCGTAATCCCTGTCTCAAATATAACCTTAGCTAAAATGCCAGCTCGAAGGACAGATTTAGTTCTTTTTCATAAGTTACAATGAATTATAAAATAATGAATGCGTGAAAAAAATGCAGATAAATTATATTAAAAAGCAAATAGCTTTAACTAATGCAAATTTTAGAATAAATGTTGATTTCTCTAATTGAATTAATATATCATGTTGACCCCAGGAGGGGGCCTGTAGACCAGAGGTGTCGATGTTG